ATTTATTCATTCCGAGTGGTGTTATGGCGTTGCGTACTCTGCGTGATCCGCATGTTTTCGCGGATCCTGAAATGTCGCGAACTTCCCGGATTATCGCGCACTTTGGTGGAAATCCCAGAATTCCGCGAAGTTCACGGAAATTTTGACATTCTGTCGCGGTATTGTGATCTTGAGCAGATCTTAGAACAAATTCGATCAGAGTGGTATACTTACTGTGTATGTGTCATCAGCGACAGATTAATGGCAATACTGTTATCAGCACACTGAATTCAACCAAAATAATAATCGATAATCTGAAAACTAATATTGTATTCGGAATCCCCATGCTCGATTACCATTGTGATTGTGCAAACTCCCAGCTCCGTAGCTCAAACTTTGCAAAAGAAAACGATAAAACCGATAAAAGCAATCGATAATCCCGAAAACTAATATTGTATTCGGAATCCCCATGCTCGATTACCCCCCTATGCAAACTCCCAGCCCCGTAGGTGAACTCTGCAAAAAAATCGATAAAATCGATATCGATCGATGACGAAAAGTAGCCTATGACACCTACCGGTGCCCGAAGTGTATGTGTGCCAAGTTTGGTCCGGATCGGTTCAGAAATGGATTTTTCTATTCGGAACATACGTACAGACAAACAGACAAACAGACGTTCAGCTTCATATATAAGATGATGCGTCTCGTCGAGCTGAATCGAACAGTGTGCTCGGATTCAGAATTCGTCCATTCTGAAGCGAGATATGGCTAAATTGACGATCATTCCGGCGCACTCTGCCGCACTCCGGCGCACTGTGGCGGAGTGTGGCGGAGTGCGCCGCAGTCCGGCGACTTTTTTGACAAATTATGAGCGGTATTGTACATGTTATTGTAATTACCTTGCAGAATTTTGTAATCTGGAATAATCAAAACTTTCGAAGAATCAGTCGTGTCATGCATCCAAAATTGCCAAAGTTTTTACCAATTTCAAAATTGGACTGATGTTGCTGAAAAAAATTTGTTAGTGTATACAAAGATAAAATACTAAAATTCAAAATTACTGAAATTTCATATTAGACTGGTTTCGAAAATCAAACGTCGTTAAAGTTACAACTTTTCATAAACAGTTTGAGCAATCAACGTTTGTCATTTTGACATTACCGATAAACGTTTTACTTCAAATTGTTCACTGCTTAGTGAGCAGGGTGCGGCAAGAGCGCGGCAAATGTTTAGCTCATCGTTACAGGATAAAAAGCAAGGACATCCACATATGCACTTCCTCAATGTTCCCTAGGCGATTGACGTGCACAAATACAATCCTGCCCGAGTCGGCATCTCAGAAACCAAATTTCTTTGCTTGCAGCGGAAATAATTTCCTCGTTCACAGCGCATACATAATGATATGATACAAAAATTTGGTATGTGGAACTAAAAGGTCCAGAATGGACAAAACGCGCGACTTGTGTAGAAATTATTGATTGAAAATAGCCGAAAAAACCTGCGGCGGGCTCAAGAGCGCGAAACGAAAAAATCTTATGGCACGATTTTCGCAGAAAGTTTGTCACAGAGATTATCCGACCCGATAGCTATAAAATTGTAATTTGTTCCTTACTATTAGGTTGTCCGGACAGCTATATAGGACAGCTGATACTACCGGACAAAGACAATGCGCTTTCCGTGAGTAACAAAGAAAATCTTAATATATGGGGCTTTTGAAAAATCGTGACGATGGCGCGACCGCGCGCAACACGCACGCACTCCCAATTTTTGGTTTCTATCTCTGCTCAAATAGTTTTTCCGCTTACATATGATAGTATTCAGATACTGGAAGTGACCAAGCTTAGCGTTGAGGCGTTGCCTGTTTGTATGGGTTTTTTATCCATCTGTGTGCGGAAGGACCGCAGTCATCGTCGTCACGATTTCCAAAATGAACCATACACTCCTACAGATATACAGGGTCTCCGTAAAGTATGTAAACACTGTTTGATCTTTGATATCTCTTTTCCCAAGAAGTCTTTTGCTTAGCTTTAACCACCATTTTGTAGAGCTGGCTTCAACTTAGATTTACTGTATGGAGCGAATTATCAAGACTCCATAAAATTGTGATTGCACCATTTTAAAAGATTTGAATACTCGTAAAAAGTTGTATAATAAAATCAGCGAGCTTGAAAACCCTAGTACACCACTTTCCAGTCTTTTTGGAAACTTTTTTGAAACACGGTAAATCCGTAATGACGCTATAAGCTGAAAGTTCCTACCGTAATCTTACAGTAGTGAAAATGATCCGTGATTCGCTCCATGCTGCAAATCTAAGTTGAAGCCAGCTCTACAAAATGGTGGTTAAGGCCAAACAAAAGACTTCTTGGGAAAAGAGATATTAACGATCAAAAAGTGTATACATACTTTACGGACACCCTGTATGTCGATATCTACAGCAGATGTCTGGAATGTTTATCGTAGTGTCTCAATCTGCAGCAAAACTACGAAGTTTAAAACAGTTTTGCTAAGTTCTATAAGTTGCATAGGTTTTTGAAAAGCAAGAACATAAAAACCAGTTTAGCGCGGTGGAACTAAAACATCTGGAGTGGTAGTAATTTGGTCGAAACCAACAATTGATGTGATAGTTCAATCATGGTTACATCGTGGTAAGCATGATCATCTTTTCACGGCCACTCAGTTCAATCGGTCATACAAAATCATGAAACAAGCAAGTAACTAGCAGAAAACCATGAGTGTTTCATGCTTGTTTCATTCTAAACCAAACTATGAGTTAAACAGCAGGTTAACATCATTGTTTCCTTATCAGATAGAGTAATGAAAACAGCACTTCATTTCATGAGACGCAGACGTGAAACCACCACATCATAGTTTAAAATGAAAAAGTACCCCCGACCACTTTTTCGTTTTAAACAATGATGTGATGGTTTCAACGTATTAACGCGTATAGCACTAAAGTAAGGTCAAATAATCATTCTATTGTGCTATTGACGCCGGAATGGGCGTAACACACAGTGGGTTACGCTTTTTTGAATTACAATTGACTCAAGGGGCGACATTTATCAATCTCCGACTCGATCTTCGGGCCATTATTAACGAGTGCCCAAACGAAAACGAGGACGCCAATCCGGTGAGCATTGAACTTTAGAATGTAGTCCGATGGCAAGTTTGGCCATATCGTGCATGCCCTCAAACCACAGGTGCGATAATGTGAGAATTTTCTCACCCTCTCTTCACCCATGAGGAGGGACCAAGGTGACCCCTTTCACCAAAAGCCGAGAAAAAAATCAACAGTGAGGTAAGGTTGAGCAAAGAAGATATTTGTACGTAAATTTTTTATGTATAGGAAAGGAGGAGTCTATTAAAAAAAGTGCTTAATGACGGGTGTGAGTAGTGATTTCTGGACATTTTCGAGTTTTTGACATAAAAAAATTCATAACTTTTGTAGATGAGCATCTTTCACGGCGAGATGGTCACCTTTAGAACCGCCTCATCCTCCTTTTTTTGGACGAAATACAGTGTGTCTCAGATCGACCCAAAAAAACTGCCTGGTTGAAGAGTGTGCTCAGTGATTTTTGGAGATCGAGTTTAACATAAAAAATTCATAACTTCTGTAGATGAAGACCTTGTACGCCTTGATGGTAACCACTGGAACCACCTCGTCCTCCGCTTTCTGAAAATATGTACCTTGCCTGGGGACATTTAGAAAAAGTGCTGGGTGAGGGGTGGGTGAGTATAACGGGTGTGCTGAAGTAGACGCCTTTTTACAATGGTAAAAAAGCCTGTACTTGAGCTCGCTTAAGATTCTATAATTTCTCTACCGAGTGAAACATCCTTCACCCTGGAGGGGCTGCGACCACTGTGACCTCCTTCACCCTGGAGGAGTCATTCTCACCTTATCGCACCTGTGCCTCGGGCGACGCAGCGCGGGTTTCGAGATCTGGTTCTGCTGCCCGAAGGCGGTGCTCGACATGGCCAAACTTGCCATCTGACCATATCCCCCAGTAGACAGAACCCTAATCCCCAGCTTGACTTCGAGTATCGAGGGCTCCAATGCCCGCTCCTGTACTGGCTGTCACCTGTACAGCAACCCCTTTCAATATAAGAGATTGATAAATACCGCCCAAGAATTCATATGAGGCGAGAGGCAGGCGGCTCAAAGCTCTCTGACAGCGAGAAATCTTGTTCAGAAGTAAAATAACCTCGAAATTGAATTTTCAACGTGCCATGAGCTGATTAACTGCCACTGCGTCCTAGCAGGTCTCCAGTCTGTCGTGAGGACAAAATTGAGTTAGCTGATAGTGACTAATCATATAATAACTGTCAAGAGCAAGTCAATGGATGCTTAGTTCGAACGTGCCATTCAGATCGCAGCGTAATCAGTGATAAGAGAACTACTCCTTTGAAAGGCAAGGCCTCAGATTTCATCGTCAATATGGTGCTCAAGAATGAGCGTATTCTTCTTCGGGGTCAGAGTGACCGCTTCTTAAGTGCAAATGAGCACAGGAAAGATGTTTGGAAAACAATTTCAGAGAAGCTTTTCGAAAAATTCGACGTCGCACTGACCCCCAAACAAGTGCAACAGCACTTTTAATAGAAAAAGAAAGGCGTTATCGCTTGAAATTAGAGAAAAAAAAGTAAGTTCAAGCACTCTAACTTCCTGTACAAAAAAAGCACATGACAGGTCCCGCAAAAAAACAGGCGGAGGAAGAGAACTTGAAGAGGAAGCTATTTTTGAGGAAGAAAATGTTTCAAAGACAGAGTTTGAGTTGAAAAGCTACTACAACCAAAGAACAACGGCTCGGGGTCTTCCAAACGCGGACACATTGAGAGTGAATGAGGTATGCATTGCACATATGGCACAATTGAAGTATCGCATTGCAGTGGCATGGAAAAGAGAAGGGGAAAAAAGACGAATTGCTTGTGGGCCACTAGAACAACGCAAGCATGTCAAAAAAGGGGTTCGTTTGTCTCAGTACGATTTTGATTTAGTTCATAATCATTTTGGTATTTGGTAGGAAAGGATGGCTGGTGTATCTCGAAGTAATGAATCTTCCGCCTGCACAAGTTTGGAAAGTTTCAATGTAATGACTTGAATGCCTACTCTAATTTAGTTCAAGATACGAATTTAGCAAATAGATGCTTTGGTTGATTCGGACGTATCAGACGAAGAGTTGGGGGAGTCTGAAAGTTGCGTGAATGAGAAATCTAACAAAACTTTTGAATGTTTCCAAAACTCCCTAAACGAAAAACTCGACAAAGGTCTGGAATATTTCCGAACAATGCTTCAGGTAAAGTTGTAGGCTCTGACTGCAACTGGTCATCAAAAAATATTCACAGGAACAAACAAGGATGTGCGAAGCAGTTATTCAAATGGCCGAATTGCAAAAGAGGGGTCTGGAGAGCATCTTAGAATTTACTAAGCCAAAGGGTTCGTTTTTCAGTAAGTGCACTAAGTTTGAATCATCAAATTGAACCTTTTAAGCAAACTCCAAAAAGGAAACGACAACTGTAGAAGAAGAGAACTTTGAATGAAAGAATGTTTATTAAAAGACATTTAATACATAGTGTTTATCGTTTGTTGACCATTTCAAAATAAAGTTGTTTCTTCAAAGCAATCTCATAACATATTCACGAACGTCCCGGGTGTTGGCTGGCGGATGTGGCATGGTAGCCAACGTGTGCCCAAGACGTGGCCACTTTGTGGCCCCTACACAATAACCCATGTTGTGCAGCACCCATACTTTCGAAACATAGAGCCACGTACTCTGGTAACCTTCACTTTGAGGACTATAAGGGGACACAACCTCCACCTGGAAAAAAACAAAAGTCATCCGGGGCTTCGCCCGGGATGTTTTATCCTGACTATATCGGAACGAATGTTAATGAAGCAAATATAGGGAATAATAGCTTTAGCTTATCTCAGCGAGACCGAGAATTTGCGTTTTTATAGCCTTTTTACCTTAAAAAGAAGGTTTCTGTGGAATCTTCGCCAGAATTCAAGGCAAATTTTCTCAGTTATCCTTTCATCTGAATAAAATCGAGGTTCAGAAGTTTAGGAAAGCTATAGGAGTTAAATAAAAACGAGAAACTGCGCATAAAACTTGCGCAGAGAGTCGCGCACGAAAACGTTGTTCTATCTCGTTAATGAGTGATTTTCAGAGCTTGGGACGTTGTCAGTTCTCCTCTCCGTGTCATGGCGATCAGAATGATATATAATGTTGCAGGGTTTCGTTGAGACCCCGCGGAGATCTACTACCAGAGCCAAATGCCCCGTCGGCTCTGGTCTGTCTCCGCTGCTCGTCTGCGTCTCCGCGGGTTGCGCGCTACCTCGCTACCCCAAACGCGGGGCGCGGGGCATTTGGCTCTGGTACCCTTTTCTTCGCTGTTTCGAACAAAATTTTAGCAAGCTATATATCATTTTGAAGCTCTTGATCTCTATTTTCACGCCGACAACGTCCCAGAACCACATTTTTTGGTTTGATCGAGAAATCCGGCAAAAACCTTGTTTTCTAAAATCTCTTGTTTTTCTCCTATTTTAACTATTTTCACGTGGTTTTTTAGTGCATTCTATACATCTTGCTTCTGTTCATAATGCAGACAACCACCCAGCCCTTACCCCTTCGATTATGGTGAAATTTTTGCGAAAAATCGTAAAAAGTCCGTTTTTCTTTGCCTTGTTCTGTTTCAGTGCTTTCGAATCGATTTTTTTCCAGCGTGGGCGATTATTGCTCAGAACAATAAGCGCAACAATCCAGACAACGTCCCAGGAAACAGGAACGTCAATGCGGGGGTAAAAATTCAAAGGACGCATCAAAAATCAAAGCCCCGTGTTACGAACTGCTGGTCTTGAAGCGAAAACTTGCGCTTCGAAAAGCCGCCAAATGAAAGATTTTAGACCCCTTTGCAGCGTTTTTATCCGGTTTTCAGCTGTTTCTTTTGCTTTTTATATCTGTTTTACGTCATATTCTCTTCTCTGATCTTCTTTAAACAACCTTCACTATTTATGACGTCAGATGTTCAAACAACCTTCACTTTTGACGCCCTGTCTCTAGACTATCGAAGGTATGGCAGCACCGCACAAGCAATGACTATCTTGGATGCGAATTCCGGTGAGACTCGCATCCCGGTGCACAGTATTGTAAAGCGCCTTTTCCATCTCCCTATAGTCCTCTCCACCACGGCGCGTACACGGCGATGTTCGCGGTTGTAACGCATTTTCAATAAACCACCTCTAACACTTGTTGGGCGGTAGGGCGCCATGATGCCGTTTCCATTTGCATACCCGGAATCTCCAAGAAGCGCATAGCTTGCGCATGTCTCACCAGAATTGAACTGTTGGCCAAGGGTGCATCGCCTCCAAACAGTCGCATCAACAGAGCCTGGGAAGCTACAGTTAACGTAGAGGATACTGCCAATTGCATCTACAACTACGCAGACGTTTAAGGCGGTGAATCCCTTCCTGCTCATGTATACGTAGCCATCTCCGGGAGGAGTCTGGATTGGCACTAGAGTTCCGTCGATGCAGCCAATTACATCTTAATAAGTTATATATCTCTTGTAATGCACTGAAAGTCCACTCACTGCTAAATTTTCCGAGCCTGGCGAATTCGCTAGCCCTATTTCTGCACCAGAATGTATCCCACGGCTTACAAACGATAAACTGTGACACTATTTCTGGATGATTTAGCGACATAACCACCCTGTGCACCACATTTGAAATTGTTTTTTGGCAGCACTTCAGAGTGTCACCAAGAACAATTTGGTGCGAGTTCGTTGCAAGATATCTAACACCTATGGCCACCTAAAAGCTTTTCTCTGGAAGTGCAGCAAAAAGTTGCCAATCGTGAAGGCCATAGCAGACTCTACCTGCTGTTTCTTTGAGATAGCCCAAGATCTGCTAGTGTCATACGCTAGTTTCGATGACAAAAGCGTCGTGAGCCATAATAGCTCCCTTTCAGTAAAGCGAAATCTAAAGCGTATGAACGCTCTGTTACTTGAAAAGACCTCGCACGGATCACTGCGAACGTATTCAATATTCCTATGGCGCCTACGAGGCACATCGTCCGCGCTGACATCTGCAATATGTCTCCAGCAGTACTTCCTAACAACGCATCCTAATTTGATAACGCACCACTATCTCCTGACGACATAGTGTTAAGGTAGGTTTTCGAATGAGAAGCTCTTAGCCACTGGCAACAAGTTCATTCGTTAATCTATATTGAGAAGTTCAGTGTATAGATGCTGTTTAGTAAAATCAACCATCATGAAAGAATGAAAAGCTGCACACCGAACTGCAAATTTGGTAAAGTGCAATGATTGCGGGCAAGCATGAGAATGGTTTGAGTTTCGATCTCCTCCAATGACTTTGCTTTGCAAGATAGCATTTCGAGGTTTCCTGTTGGTTAATTCGTGGTTTCGTTGAGAAAATGATGTGAAGCTGCTGGTTAGCTGGTGTTATGAAAACTCAGTTAACATGATGGTTTCGACCAAATTACTACCACTCCTGAAAAATTGGTCCAGTTCTCCAGCTTTTACGTTGATGTCAATAATCTTTGTAGCTTTGATGCAACGATAATGCCGACAAATCATAATACCTCGCAAATACAATAATGGTCGCTCATTAATTTCAAGCTTTTTTTTGGAAGAAGGATACATTGATATATTCGAAGACATCCACGGCTCTACATTGGACTTTCTCGAGCCTTTACAAAAATTGGCAGGGAGGCGACAGCCCAGGCAGCATGGGCAAACCGAGGAAATCCCAGCGCTGCGGGGCTCACACTTCGGCGCATGAGAGTGGGATCATTTATGTTTGCTTGCTGCCAACCGGCAAGGTCTTGCGACCAAGCCTTCCACCCCACTCCTGCGCCGATCCCTGGAAGTGGAACAGAAAACCGAGCGGGAATTGTGGACTGCGTGCAGCACTCTCTCGAACCTCGTATATTTGCGTGGGAAAAGGACAGCTTTTCTCTCGCACGGAGAGAGCGAGACTATCAAGAGAGTGAAGCACATTTGCGCGAGCCACTGCCTATAGACCTTGTAAATTTGCAAAATTCACCAAACTTTCTCTCGGCTATAGAGAAGAGTCTCTGGATGATTTTTTGTCGAGGATGTATGAACACAGCTTTTGAAAGATGCTTAGCAAAGCCTTAGTGTGCAACAATACGCGCTGTGATATAAAACGCCAAAAACATGTGCACAAAAAAATTATGTTTACTGTGCAAAGCTAAACTACGTAAGCGCTAAATATCAACATCAATCACACTTTACACCATTACGTCGTAGCAGATATGGAATTCGGATTCGAAATCAGCTTTTATGCTGCATCTATGTAACGCTACGCAGGTTATTTGGGTCCACTTTGATTTCTGACCATTCCCTTACCAGATAAGTGTGGAATCATTTTGAGTATTATTGCATACTGAGGTGACAACAAAAGACTCAAAAACACTATTTTCACCAATATTTATGCCTCGCAACTGCAAATTGTAAATGCTGGACTAATACGCAGGGATTTTCGTAAGTAGTTGACTTATGATTTTATTACGAACCATCATCTTGTCTGTAGGGTCACCAACATATCTTATTACAGGCCGTATCTTGAAAGTTGCGCAGAACTAGAGTTGAGCTCGCTTAATGTAATCTTATGCGTCTTCAGAGGATGGTAGAAAAGTGGGCAAACTGGATTATCCAACCTAGCCTAATAAAGTTTCTCATCTGATTACAAATCTTGCTACGCCAACCTACATCGTTTAGTCTTTTACATTGCATCTGATAGTCTTTATTGGTGTAGCGCCGCTATATCGTGACGTCAGATAACAAAGCTCTGCAAATTAATCTACTTTAGGTTGCGGCATCGAAATCACATTCCCAATAACAATATCAAGAAAGCAGATATAACTGTTTTTCCATGGCTGAAAATTGAGAAAACCAAATTCGGCATATTTCTGCCAAAGCAATCCTGAGCTTCTCTCACATGGGTGATTTTGTAGCATGAACCTTTAGGAGTATAACCATGAATTTTCAGCTTTAGAGAAGCGCTAGTTTTCGAGAAAAATCAATCTGTTTGCAAAAAAACCGAAAAACTCGACATATTCGCACTTTTGACCTCTTTCTATTTCTCGAACTGTAGCCATGGAAAAATACCACAAACTATATAGATGAGTGTCTAGTGTGGAGAGTACATGCCTGTACAAATTGGAGATCTCTAAGACGTCTGTGAACGGAGATATGATTTTTCGGGCGTCTGAAATTTTTATTTTGGATTCGAATTTCAAGTGGAGCAGATTTCCGCGGAGATTTGTGAACTATCTTGTAGAGCTTACTTTGCTCTATCGAATGATACCCCATTCGATGTTTTCTGTGGTCACTCTGTCGCGGTAGGATGCCATGCGACATTATTTTCCGGACAAGCTAATATTATCTCGGTTATCATCTTTTTCGATGCTGAGAGGAAATGCGGCACTTTTTTGAAATGATTATATCTACGAAACAGGATGTCGTATAGCAGTTTTGAATTCATAATCCTCATA